TTTATAGTTTTGGGTCTAACGTTTAGATCTTTAGTCTACTTTGAGTTAATTTCGTGTATCATAGAAGTTAGGGATTCATTTTCTTTCTTTTACATGTAAATGTACAATTTCCACATAACTATGTATTAAAGATACTGTCCTTTTTCTTTTCTTTTTTTAGAGAGAATTTTTTTTAGTATTTTTCAGTTTTCAGTGGACACAACATCTTTATTTTTACAAGGTGTTGAGGATCGAACCCAGCGCCCCATGCATGCCAGGCGAGTGTGTTACCGCTTGAGCCACATCCCCAGCCTAATACTGTCCTTTTTCTATTGCATGGTCTTAGCACAGTTGTTACAGATTATTGATCATACACTCAAGAGTAGTTGTGTTTTTTTTTTTTTTTTAGTAGTATCGTACTGTGAATAATATTTTGGAACTTATTTTGTTTAATTCTGTATTCCTGAGATTAACCATAAGATGTCATTCAATGGAAGGAAGTACCAGAATACACCTAATGTGAATAGTTCTATTCTTTGCTGCAGCATAGTCTTAAAACAGAGGGTCAGTGGAAATAAAGCTTTGTCACAAAAGCCTAAGAATGTTATATTTATACATGTATCAATAAGAATCACAGGCAGGACATTTGTTATATCTCTTTTCATTGTGTCCTTAGGCATCACACCATCATAAGAGAGGATAGCATTGTTTTCCTTTTAAGTTTTTGTAAAAGCCATCCTCTGGGTGGTTGAAATAATATTTTCAAGGCAAGAAACACTGGGAATATAGCTTCTGTTTTCCATTGTAGATTCTGCTTCAGATTAGCACCTGATATCAGATGCTTGCTCCTAGGTGAGCTTCTTGTCATTTTGCCACAAGATAGACACATAAGAGCAGGTCATGCCTGGGCAGAAGGTGATGATAATTGTGAGCAGGACTATCCAGAGGCTAATGCTGGAGTAGAACAGCTGCTCCACCAGTCATCTTCTCTTAGAGCTGGCCTAGTCAGGGTTGCAGTGATTCTTCTACCTGGGGTACATCTTCAGTTCACCTCAAGGTATTCTCATTCCCCTCAGCCGGGGCATCATCTTGACTTTGAATTTGCCCTGATCTCTGGTGTAGTTTCAGGCCTAGTACACTGCCTCCAGCTGAGTTGCCAGTGGCACACTGCAGCCTTGTTGTCATTTGATTTTAGATAATAATATCTGAAGATGATTATGTTCTAAAATAGAAATCAACAGTTCTGGCACTTTTTGCTTTTCTAAACCATCAATATTGAGGTCACATTTTATAGTAAGAATTACTAAACTGTGTTTGTTTGTTTGTGGACCACTCTGACTCCAACCTCTTGACTCGGTGAAAAAATGTGGATTATAAAACAGCATGTAGTATATGGATTCACTTTTGTAAAAATACAAAACCGTTTCTTTATCACTACCTAATATGTAAAATAGTAAGGACTCAATAAAAACTGTATAAAAAGAACGCACAAGAGGGGCTGGAGTTGTGGCTCAGTGGTAAAGTACTTGCCTCGCACGCACAAGGCCCTGGGTTCAATCCTCAGCACCACATAAAAATTAATAAGAAAAGATATTGTGTTCTTCTACAACTAAAAAATATTTTAAAAAAGAAACATGAATCCTACCAAAAAAAAAAAAAGAATGCACAAGAAAAACAATGAAAAAGTTTTTGTTTTATGTACCAAATTATCTACTTTTAAAAAATGTTGCTCTTTATTTATTTATTTGTAAGTGATGATTAGTAGAAATGTAGATACTTTATAGAAGGAGCTGTGTAGGAAGTCATAAATTCTGTTATTCCCTGAAATAGCTCAAGCCACTTAGAAATTTTGTTATTCTTTTCCTATGAAAGGCAACATAATTGTTGGTTTGTGTCATGAGGGAATAGTATCTTGCACAGTTCAGACACACACAGAGCAATTGGGATGTAATTCCAAAACTAATGGCTTAGTTTCATTTTAAGATGAAACAGAGTTGATAGGTTTCAGATATAATAACAAGTGAATGGTGGCTATCTTACTCTTGCTTTCTTTCAAATAGCATGCTTAAATACCCTTGGGTGGAGATATTTTAAGGGACCAAAATAGAGGTTGTTCTTGTCCTTAGTAAGCTTGTGAATTAAGGTTTGGGAGGTTACTTTCAGAGTTCTGTCCCCCAACCCCTATACTGGAGATTTTACCCAAGAGTGCTTCGCACTGAGCTATATCCCCAGACCTTTGTTTGTTGTTTGTTTTGGGGACAGTGTCTTGCTGAATTGCCTGGGCTAGTCTCAACCTTGTGATCCTCTTGCCTCAGCCTCCTGCATAGCTGGGATTAGGTCCATGAGCCAGTTTACCCAGCACTTTTAGAGTTCATATACTTATGTTAAATTAATCGTTACATTATTGTTGTTTAACTAGTTATTATTTAAAAAGTAACTAATTAAAAAGAATTACTTCAACCAGGCACAGTAGCTCCTGTAATCCCAGCTGTTTAGGAGGCTGAGGCAGAGGATCACAGGTTTGAGACCAACATCAGAAATTAGTGAGACTCTAAGCCATTTTGTGAGACCCTGTCTCAAGATAAAACTAAAAAGGGCTGGGGTTATACCTCAGTGGTAAAGCAGCCTTGGGTTCAATTCCTGGGAATGCCCCACCACCACCAAAGAGAATCACTTCATATTTCAGAAATATAATTTTGGATTTGTTTTATTGAGTAATGTAAATTTTGAATTGGCCAATTAGAAGTCAATGTATTGAGTATTTAAGTTAGACTCTACTAAATATAATTTTAAAAACAAGTAAATTTTTTATGAGTAGATAATATTTTACTTGGTAAAACAATTTCAAGGTATATATAGTGAAAAAATCTTCCTTCCACTTGTCTCCTAGCCACCAGGTTCTCTTCAATGTTTCCAGGGATATTGTGTACAATTATAAGCATCTATGTATCTACTCTATATAGTCATAAGTAATAGTGTAATATCCTCTTGTACCTTGCTTTCCTCAAGTACAGAATATTTTATTTCTGTATCTAAGTAAGTAATCAGACTAATTGTTGAATTAGCAGCCACATATGGTGGTAACATGCCTTTTATACCAGTGACTTGGGAGGCTGAGGCAGGAGTATCACAAGTTCCAGGCCCATCTTAGCAACTTAAGAAGACCCTGTCTCAAAAAATAGGTAGGTAGGTAGATAGATAGGACTAGGGGTATAACTCAGGGTTAATGTACCCCTGGGTTCAATTCCCAGTACCAGAAAACACACATACACACACACACACACATAAACACTTGTTGAAATAGGCAGTCTTAAAAAATTTCCATGTTACAAATAAGGCTACTAAGACATTTAAAAAATAATTTTTATATATTTTTAGTTATACATGATGGTAGAGTGTGTTTTTTTTTTTTTTTAAGTTATGGGTGGCTATAATACCTTTACTTATTTATTTATGGGGGAGAGAGTACTAGGGATTAAACTCAGGGGCACTCAACCACTGATCACATCCCCAGCCCTATTTTGTATTTTATTTAGAGACAGTGTCTCACTGAGTTGCTTAGTACCTTGCTTTTTACTGAGGCTGGCTTTGAACTTGAGATCCTCCTGCCTCAGACTCCTAAGCCACTGGGATTACAAGCATGTGCCATGCCCAGTTTATTTATTTATTTTTATGTGGTGCTAAGGATTGAACCTCACACAGGCTAGGCAAGCGCTCTACCACTGAACTACAATTCCAGCCCAGTAGCATGTGTTTTGACATATTATACATACATGGAGTATAACTTCTTGTTGTACATGATGTGGAGTTACAGTGGTTTTGTATTCATATATGAATATAGAAAAGTAATGTCTGGTTGATTCTACTGTCTTTCTTATTCCCACCCCACCCCAGATATCTCAAATTTCTGAATAACTTGTCTGTGTTCACATAGCTTATATTTATAGAATTTACTTCATCTGTGCTATTTACTTTTTTTTTAATTAATATTTTTTAGTTGTCAATGGACCTTTATTTATTTATATGTGATGATGAGACTCAAACCCAGTGCTTCATACATGCTAGGCAAGTGCTCTACCACTGAGCCAAAATCCCAGCCCCCTCTTTACTTTTTACTTAGAAAAAATTGTAAATTTAAAATTGAAGACTGCAATAAAGAATTTTGTATACCCTAGAGTCCCTCCCCATTTGGTTTTCTACAGTAGTCTCAATACTATTGGCAAAAGGAACCAGTCTGTCCAGTCATATGGTGCATGCCTATAATCTCAGCTACTCAGAGCCTGAGGCAGGAGGATAACAAATTTGATGCCAGCCTGGGCAACTTATTGAGACTCTGTCTCAAAATAAAAAATAAAAAGGGCTATTGTATAACTCAGTGGTAGAGTGAGTTATATAATCAATAATCATTTCTTCAGTCTTTTGTTGACTTTCATGACTTCAGTGTTTTGTTTTGTTTAATATCTTTTTTTTTTTTTTTAGGTTTTTTTTTTTTTTTTTTTAGTTAGAGAGAGATTATTATATTTATTTTTTAGTTATCGGCGGACACAACATCTTTGTTTGTATGTGGTGCTGAGGATCGAACCCGGGCCGCACGCATGCCAGGCGAGCATGCTACCGCTTGAGCCACATCCCCAGCCATGTTTAATATCTTTATCTATTTATTTCTGTGTGTTGCTGAGGATCGAACCCAGTGCCTCACACATGTGAGGCAGGTGCTATACCACTGAGCTACAGCCCCAGCCAGACCTCAGTGTTTTTGAAAATCACAGGCCACGCTGTAGGTTATTGGTCAGTTTGCACTTGTCTTATCTTTCCTGACAATAATACCCATATTATGCAGTTTGGGCCAGAATTTGATAGAAATTATGCTGCTTTCTTCTCATTGCATCTTTATAGGCACACAATGTCAATTTGTTCCATTACTCCCATTTAAGGGAGAGAAGGGGAAGGAGGACAGGAAAGAAACTTATGGGTTTTCTTTTCAGACACTCCTCTGTTCAGTAAATATCTTTTTCTTGTAGCATCCTGGTGGAGAAGAGGTTTTGCTAGAACAAGCTGGTACAGATTCAACTGAAAGCTTTGAAGATGTAGGCCATTCCTCTGATGCCAGAGAAATGCTAAAGCAGTACTACATCGGTGACGTCCATCCGGTAAGAACTATTAGAGGGCTAGAAGCACTTGTGCAGAGAAAGTGACGCAACAGCCATAGAACTGCATGAGAGAAAGAATTATTAAAATTATTAAAATAGAAATTAATTTAACCATTCATTAGGCTGACTTTTCTCCATTATCATCCTGCCTTAGAGTGCAGCTAATAGTAACATCTGCACTTAAAATAGGTGTGGTTGTTTTTACAAGTCCCTAGCTAAAAAGGTAACTAACTACAGACTTTTTTATTGAACCCAGAAAAGCTTAACAACCAAGCAATATCCCTGCCCTTTTTTATATTTTATTTAGAGACAGGGTCTCAGTGAATTGCTTAGGACCTCATTAGGTTGCTCAGGCTGGCTTTAAACTTACCTCCTGCCTCAGCCTTCCAAGCCACTGGGATTACAGACATACACCACTAGGTTCGTCATCTATGGACTTTTAAGCCTTCCAGACATAACTATTCTAACAGGAGACCCTGATATGCTAAGGGTGGGGTGCCATTCCTTTTTTTCAGACCTGTAGGTCTCCTAGAGAATTCTCTGCCCGACAAATGTAGTCTCATGTTTCAAGGTTAGAAACAAGCACATAGGGCTGGGGTTGTGGCTCAGTGGTAGAGCGCTTGCCTAGCACATGCGAGGCCCTGGGTTCTATCCTCAGCACCACATAAAAATAAATAAAGTAAAGATATTGGGCCCAGCTAAAAAAAAATAAATATTTTTAAAAAAAAAAGATAAAAGAAACAAGCACATAGTAAGAGTTCATTTGGATATTTCTTTTCTTTTTTTTTTTTGGTACCAGGAATTGAACTCAGGGGGGCTTAATCATTGAGCTACATCCCCCCAGCCTTTTTAGACAGGTTCATGCTAAGTTGCTTAGGGCCTTGCTAATTTGCTGAGCCTGGCTTTGAACTTGAGGTTCTTCTGCCTCAGTACATTTGGATATTTCTTAAAACATTGTTTTCCTCTTTTTAACAGAGTGACCTTAAACCTGAAGGTGGTAACAAGGTAAGATGTCATCCGATTTGTCTTTTGTATTTCAAGTGTTTGTAGTTCTATTTATTCAAATAGAATTGTTTTGTTTTGGTTTTTTTACGTGTTTGTTTTTCCCAAGCAAAAATTCTATTTTTCAGGAATTTGGATTCAGTAACTCTCAGGAAAAATGAATAGCTGGGTCTTACATAGTAGGAAACAGTTTGCTAATGCTTCTGTATGCTTTCTTCTTTTTTTTTTTAAATTGCAACTCCAAAGTATGCCATGTATGGTTTTGAAAGAAATTAGTTTATGGATTCAGTTATAGAAAAGTACTTTACCCATGCCTCATTTAGAACAGGTGTAAATACTTGCTTCTGTCTGAAAAAGAATTTTCTTTTTCAAGTTATTTTATCTTTCAAGTTATTGAAAGAGACCTCTCTGTTCCTATTTCCCAAGTTTTTATTTTATTTTTTTATTTATTTTTTTTTTAAAGAGAGAGAATTTTGATATTTATTTTTTAGTTTTTGACGGACACAACATCTTTGTTTGTATGTGGTGCTGAGGATCGAACCCAGGCCACACGCATGCCAGGCGAGCGCGCTACCACTTGAGCCACATCCTCAGCCCTTATTTTTGTTTTAATATTTATTTTTTAGTTGTAGTTGGACACAATACCTTTATTTTATTTATTTTTATGTGGTGCTGAGGATCGAACCCAGGACCTCACACGTACTAGGTAAGTTGCTCTACCACTGAGCCACAACCCCAGCCCCCCCAATTTTTATTTTAAAACATTTTATTTTGTAGCTTCAAATAGACTCACCCCCTTTCCAGTTATTTACTGATTTTAGCAAAAACAAGATTAAATACTTGCATATTTGAAAACCTTAATGTGCTCTGCATGACATTCTAGGAAGAAAATATGAAAGCATTTTCTGCTTCCCACAAGCTGAGTACTTCCAACTCCTGTATTCTCTTATATTTCCCTTGACTCCTGTCCTTTAGGTAATTGTTAGTCCACCCTGTGATTTAAAGGGACAGCATTGTAGATGCTACTTAGAACATTATGGGCACCACACAACCTCCCCTTGTCCTCTTTCTAGCTTCTTATACCATTCCTCACCGAACCATAATTACCGAATGAGATTGATACAGCAATTAACTTTGTCCTAGACATAAGAATTTTTTCAATTGAAGAGATTGCTTACTTGGCAGTTGCCATCTGTTGCCTTGCAATCCAGAACATTTATATAAATTAACTCCTCTGTCTTGCTATACTATAGTACTCTGAACTATTGAGTTGTTTATGAAAGGGGAATTCATAATATTGGGAATTCAACTCAGAGTCTCTCACATGCCATATCCTCAGCTCTATTTTTTTTTGGCAATACTGGGGATTGCATCCAGGAATGCTCTACTCATGAGTTATATCCCCAATCTTTTTTATTTTTTAATTTTGAGATAGGGTGTCACTAAATTTCCCAGGTTGGTTTTGAACTTGCAATCTTTCTACCTCAGCCTCTGGAGTAGCTGGGATTACAGACATGTGCCACTGAACCTAGCTCTTCAAACACATTTTAAGCACTGGTGGTGTGTGTGTTGTCCCCTCCTCACACATGCACTACCATTCTTGAATCTTCACATGTGGTATTAAGGTAAAATTTGAACTAAGAGTGAGCTTAATTATTATATTGAATGTATCCAGAAAATTTAGAGGTCAGTATTTGATCCAAGGAATACTCCCATTTTTATAAGAGATACACCTCTATCTAAGAGCCATAACCCATTTCTGCACAAGCAATGAGGCACCCTTTATATTAAGGTAGCAGGAAAATATTTTTGCAATTACTATGTCTAGAAGTCTGTAAATTGCTTCTTGTTGCTGTTTTTCTTTCTTTGGTAGTATAGTTAGGACCATTCTCAGAATGGAGAGCAGTGTTCCACATATTCTGTTTCTTGTAGTACCTAAATTGGATTCCCATGGAATGAACATGAAAATACACATAAAACATGTATTTCTTGAGTTTCCACTACTGCTGGTTCAAGAGCTTTGGACATGGGGTTTGGTAATTTGCATTTTAAGTAACCCAGATGATAAGTAAGCAAGCACCAAACATTTTGCTAAATGATAAGCCTATCATTTCTTATGAAAACCTAAGAAATTTTTTGGGCTGGGGATGTGGCTCAAGCGGTAGCGCGCTCGCCTGGCGTGCGTGCGGCCCGGGTTCGATCCTCAGCACCACATACAAACAAAGATGTTGTGTCCGCCGAAAAACTAAAAAATAAATATTAAAATTCTCAAAAAAAAAAGAAAGAAAACCTAAGAAATTTTAATTCTCTTCGTGGAAAGCATTGTCTGCTTTCTGCGGGTCAAAGAACTAATTAGAGATTTGTTAGCTGAATTATAACTGTTTTAAGTACAGGAAAAGAAACCATTTCAGCTCACTTAAATTCTGTAATAAAAGAAGTCTCCAAATGTACATTAGCTCCTTCCTGGGTTAAAGTATGACTAACGGCCCGGTTGGCAAGCCTATTTTCCCCATGTGACTTGTACCCAAGGGACATGTCTCTACTAAGTAGAGTCAGGCTATTGTGTGTTTCCAGCCACAGTGCCTCATTTTTGATCAGGCAAAGGAAGCCTTTTGGAAACTTTTCAAGGCCACCTACATAGACTTTCAAAGAGTCTTCCAACCTGATTTCAGTTCCAGGAAGAAATTCCTGATCCTTCAGATTTCTTTCTTACAGAGGTTTAAATAGAAACGTTGGTGTCTAGGATGTACGTATCTCTCTTCTTCATTTTTCTATCTCTGGTTTAAACATTCACGAAGAAATGGAAATGAAGTTGATATTATTAATTACTTTCCTTTTTCTTCATTCAGGGGTGAACCTCTGTGAGGAAGTGATTTTTCTTTAAGCCTACTAAGAGGAATTTTCAGCCTTATAGGCTTCTGTTTCTGTATGTCCTCTTTGTAACACACTCTTTCCTTAGGAAAAAGAAAATACCCAAAATGTTGCTATTGCAGAGGATAAATCAGGAATCATTTCCTTGTTTGTTTTTTTTTTTTAAAGAAACTACCTTTCTTTTTTTTTTTTTTTAAAGGAACAGAATTAAGGCAGATTGGGTTTTTTTTTGTTGTTGTTTTGTTTTGTTTTTTAAGAGAGAGAGAGAATTTTTATTTTTTAGTTTTCGGCGGACACAACATCTTTGTATGTGGTGCTGAGGATCGAATCCGGGCCGCACGCGTGCCAGGCGAGCGCGCTACCACTTGAGCCACATCCCCAGCCCCCAAGAAACTACCTTTCTTTTGCTTTTACTACAACACAGTCAATGGCCACCATTGTTTTATTGTTAGATAATAATTCCTGAGTTGAAAGCCCTGAAATATAAAATTTTAAAAGCTTAGAAACTCATAGATCTTGAAACAAGTCTTTCTTCCTTACGTCAAAGATAACTTACAAGAGTTAAGAACTGTTTTGTCTTTGAATATCTTCCTTGCTGGATTAACTCCCATGCTGAGAAGTGTCAATCTTCTCCTTGCATTTGACTTAACGTTTTTTTTCTGGTCTACTTTTCATTATGGAAGCTCACCTTCAAAACAAATTTAGGGGGTTTTTGGCTCAGTGGTACAGCACTCGCCTAGCAAGAGTGAGGCCGTGGGTTCTATCCACATAAAATCTCCACATAAAAATAAATAAATGAAAATAAAGGTATTGTGTCCACCTACAACTAAAAAAATATTTAAAAGAAAAAATTAGTGCCAGGCATGGTGGTACATGACTGTAATACCAGTGGCTCAGGAGGCTGAGGCAGGAGGATCACGAGCTCAGAGCCAGCCTCAGCAACTCAGTGAGGCCCTAAGCAATTCAGCGAGTCCCTGTCTCTAAATAAAATATAAAAAGAGCTGGAGATGTGGCTCAGTCATTAAGAGCTTCTGAGTTCAATTCCCAGTAATAAAATAATTAATTAATTAAAGATAGTAAATATCAATCTATAATTATGTTTAAAGGCAAATATAGTTTTTCCCTCCTCATGCTGATTTTTCTTGCAAATACAGTTTTCTGTCATATAATGTACAATACATATATAACATTTTACCTCCTCTTTTATGAAAGAAATATTTAAAATATACGTCATTTATAATTATGAATGTAGTTAGTTGATTACTATATTAGTTCATTTTCTGTTATAATAACAAGATACCTGAGATTGGATACTTTATAAAAAGAAGAGATTTATTTAGCTTATAAGTCTGGATGTTCAATGTGATGGCATCAGAATCAGCTTAATTGTGGTGAAGTCCTCTTGGTAGAAGTGTAAGGGGAGGGGAGGGGATAGTAAAAGAAAGAGATGGAGAGAGTGAGATCATATGGTAAGGCAGAAAGTGAGAGAGGTAGATTAGGACCCTCATGAGAACTCCATTGATCTCTTCCAAGGGTATGCCCCCAGTGACCTACGGATCTTCCATTAGGACCTCTACATTATAATTATAATTGGCTCATTCTTTCCTGAGTTTATGTCCTGATGAGAAGGTACACCACATTCCTTAAGTGTGTGTGTGTGTGCTCCTCTCTAATGTTTTCTCATACACAGAATTTCCTCTGCTGACACTATGGGATTACTAGATGTGACATTTCTTTGTCATTTTCTTAACTATGTCAGATTGGATCAGTACTTGAGGTGCAAGACCTCTTAGAAGAGTGTTTGGGAAAACAATCCTTTATAGAGCTGGTGGGAGAGGGAGAACTCAACACATGATAATGCTCCTTCAATCTCCTGGACATGAGAGAATGGTATTTCCTTTCTTTGCTCTTGTAGCCATACATGGTGGCACTTGCCTGTAATCTCAGCTACTTGGGAGAGTGAGGCAGGAGATTAGGAAGTTCCAGAACAGCTTCAGCAACTTAGCGAGACCCTGTTTCAAAATGAAAAACCAAAGGGCTGGGCATGTTGCTCAGTGATAGAGTGCCTAACATGCACAAAGCCCTCGGTTCAATCCCCATTACTGCAAAAAAGTTCACATAGATTTTGTTACAATACCTTTGGCTCAGAAAATTGTGTCCAAGGGGTGGGGATATAGCTCAGTTGGTAGAGTGCTTACCTCACACCAATCCCTAGCACCACAAAAAAAGAAAATTGTGTGAAAATAATTAAATATGATGTTAGGATTGAAATTCTTCTAATATGAGCCTTTTATTTTCCAATGAGAAAAATGTTTTAGCATTGACCTGAAAGATACTTAGCCATAATTTCAGTTATGAGCAGCTCTATGCAGTTACTCAGGTATTATGAAATATTTCCTTTTAACCTACAAAGCCCATCTTTGGTATTTATTTGTATATTAATTTACTTATTTAATTATTTTATGTGGTGATTAAAACCTAATGAATCTTGGGGCTGGGGTTGTGGCTCAGTGGTAGAGCATTTGCCTAGTACATGTGAGGCACCGGGTTTGATCTCCAGCACCATGTAAAAAAACTAAATAAACAAAAGTATTGTGTCCATCTACAACTGAAAATATTAAGGGGAAAAAAAAAAACCAATGAACCTTGAACTTTAGGACCCAGTTTCATCTATTTATTTATTTATTTTAAAAATTTTTAGTTGCCAATTGACCTTTATTTATTTATTTATATGTGGTGTTGAGAATTGAACCAGTGTCTCACACATGCCAGGCAAGCACTCCACCAACTAAGCCACAATCCCAGCTCTCCAGTTTTAAACTGTTAATTTCTATTAATTTTGAGCTAAAATCATAGAACACTTAAGCAATCTTGTTGTTTGCAAATGCATTCCAAATCTTTGGAAACTAAAGAAACATGTATATTAATTACCTGGTTGAGCTTATGCTAGAACTTTGGGTTTGATCTGCTCTCTTGTAATAATGTCATAATACTGCATTTCTTTCTTTAACAGTTGATTAAAAGTGGGACCACTGTAGTTTGGAATTTACTTGGCTGTCAATGTTCTAAAAGAAATAGTTGCTTGTTTCTCTTCTCTTTTCTCCAAAGTGTTGGGCAGCTTGGCCTTTTTTGCCTTCAGAGATGAATTAATGTTAAAACAGGAGCACTTTGGGGTATTTAATTCAATAAACACCATATATGTTTTTAGTTATTTTAGTTATTTACCATATGTGTTATGGTCTTGGTTCTCTTTTTTTCTTCTTGCTTATTGTGTTATTTAAGGTTCATACTAGTTAGCACACATACGGGGCTTTTGGTTGTAAAAGAGGCTAAAAGTGTTGACATACAGAGAATCCATTTATATGAACTATATATGACTTTATGTAATTATAGATTCTACATTTACGTTATACTACTACAGCCTCCCAAACTATAAGATAGTAATATTTTCAAAGATTGACCTGTAATGTGTTTTTTTCATATCTTTTATGGGTGCATTATAATTATACATAATGGTGAGATTTGTGTTACATGTTTTAATTAGCCCAGTCCATGTTATACTAACAGAAATGTCCCAGATAATAAAAATCATCAAGTTCTCAAAGAAGTTTGGTATGTATATATTAGTATGGTTTTTCTAAAGCCTTTTATTGGAAGTTTTATTTGCCTATAGGCTAATTTCTTTCAGATTTGGGGCATATGTTTATTTGCATAACATTATTTTGTATACAAGAAATTAATACTCACTTCATGGACTGCTTTAAAGTATATCTTGTCCAGTATGTATGATTCCTGGAAATTCTTGGAGATTATTGAAAATCGTGATTAAGCAGATTTAATATACTATATACATGCCCTGCATACTTCTACATATTTTCTTAATTATTTTTTTTTAAGAGAGAGAAAATTTTTTAATATTTATTTTTTAGTGTTCAGTGGACATAACATCTTTTTGTTGTTGTTGTTGTTGTTGGACACAACATCTTTATTTTTTTATTTTTGTGGTGCTGAAGATCAAACCCAGCGCCCCGCTCATGCCAGGCGATCGCGCTTCCGCTTGAGCCACATCCCCAGCCCCACTTCTACATATTTTCAAAGATGTTACTTTGAGCAATAGCAACCTACGCTAATAGGTTTTTGTCCTCTGGCAATAGGTTAGCAGGACTTTATACTAATATAGCTAATTAATGGAATTATTTATTTCACATGATATTTAAATGGAGTAAAAATAATTTTAATAACAATTTTATTGATGATTCACATACCATATAATTCATCTATTTAAAATGTACGAGTCAATGGTTCTGAGTATATTCACAGAAGTGTGCAACCATAATCACAATTTTAGAACAAATTCATTATGTAAACCCTCTGCTCATTAGCAGTCATTTTCCAGTCTGCCCCCTTATTCTTCCTTTCCCACGCTAGCTGTAGGCAATCACTAATCTATTTTTTGCTTCTATTGATTGTTCTGTTCTGGATATTTTTATGTAAGCAGGCTTAAATATGTGGTCATGTATGTCTGGCTTCTTAGCTTGACAATTCATCCATATCACGTATATTAGTTTAATTGCTAAAGTTTGTTTTAAAGATTATTTTGGTATTTTTCTTCCTTTGAACTGCTGTCTCTTTTACTGTGAAATAAACCCTAAGGTCTTTAGTCATATTATTATGATTTCAAAGAGTAAACCAGTTCATTTCTGTAAACCACAAGCAATCATCTGCCTGATCTTAGAGCACTTCACAGTTTATATGTTCTTACCATGTTTTTAGAGAATGTGATCTTAGCTACAGCCAGTGGCAAGCCCAGCTGAACCAGGCCTGTCATTGTAACTAAAAAAATTATTATGTTTCAATATAAGTGTGTATCATTAGCAATTTTTTTTTACTTCTAAAAATGTTTCATTAGTGATTATTCACTGGAGAGTATGAAATAAAATTCATGGTCCTTCTATTGCTTAAGGTTTCATAACATCAAAATGCATGAAAGATAAAGTTGTTATTAGCTACAGAATTTATATAAATATTCAAAAGAAGACTTAACATGTTTTATTAATCTTTTTTCTTTTTGTTATTTTTGAATATGTGTCTTCTTAAGGATCCTTCGAAAAATGATACATGCAAAAGGTTGGTATCCCATTAAAAGACTTCCTTATATATAATGTCTGACAAGAGATTATTTCATGAATATTCATGTATAACACACTTAAGAGTGCAGTTTGTCTGGGAGTAGTGGTGTACACCTGAGGATCTTAGCAACTTAGCAAGATCCTGTCTGAAAAAAAAAAAAAAAAAAAAAAGGCTTGGGGCATAGCTCAGTGGTAAAGCACCTCTGGGTTCTGTCCTCAGTACCAGAACAAAATAAGACTAGTCTGGGCAAACACAAAATAAGAGTACAATATGACAGCTAGTTCATTTTTGGTCAAAAGTCATTACAAGTTTAGTAGTTCTTTGACAGCAATAAAATTAATTTTTACAGTTTCAAGCATTTTCAATAATCTAAAAGATTCACACCTTGAGTAATTTTTAAATCTTATGATGACATAAAGATGGAGTCATAGTTATTAAGAGGCCAGTATGCAAGGGCAAGTACCTATGAAGTCAGGTCCTGAATGTGTGCAGTTCATCCTAGCTTGTGACTTCCACTTCACACTTAAGTTTCAGTCAACCCTCACAGGTGCTATAATTATATTTTAAACAGGAAAAGATTTATTAGAGTCATATTTAGGAATTTGGGTTTTCTCAGAAGTTTGCTTACAGTATATACCTTGCAGTATTTTTAGTAAAAGGGTATTATTAGCTCTGAAATGTGTAAATTACCATCCCATAAATGTCTCTACTTGAGATGACTGTGGAATCCTTGGCTTGTAAAGAATCATAGAGATGATATAATACCGTCTACTCTGTCTTTTGGAGATCTCAAGGGATTTTAGGCAGAAAATGTCTTTTTTCTTCTATAAAATACCAATTCTTTTATTTGAAGTAAAAGGCATCATATAAAAATACATATTATTGGTAAATTCAGTTTCCTCAAAACTAAAGACTTTGATTCAGCCAAGTGCTACATAAAGATTTTGAAAATAGCTGGGCATGATGGCACAGCCTGTAATCCCAGCTATTGAGAAGCTGAAGCTGTAGAATCCAAGTTTGAGGCCAGCCTAGGCAACTTAGTTAGACCCTATCTCAAAATTTAAAAGAGGGTGATTAGGGCTGGGGATGTATATAGCTCAGTGGTAGAGCTTGGGTTCATTGCCCAGTACCACAAAAATTTGAAAATATAGGGATATAAACTTGTAGTTGATTTATGCTATACATAAAACTGATTAAGAATTATTAATAGAATACATAAAGACTTCTTGCAAATGAAGTTTTTTAAAATTAATAGAATATGAGAAAAAGATTTATGATTTTACAGAAGAAGAAACACAAATATAAGCATATGGAAAAAATTTAATGTCATTTATCACCAAAGACATACAAATTAAAATCATAGGTATAGCTGGACATGGTGGTGCATGCCTTAATCCCAGTGACCCCAGAGGCTTAGGCAGGAGGATCACAAGTTTAGGACAGCCTCAGCAAGACCCCTAGCAACATAGTGAAACCCTGTCTCAAAAAGTAAAAAGGTTTGGTGATATAGCTCAGTGATAAAGTGCCCCCGAGTTTAATCCTTAGTACCAAAAAAGAAAAAGAATTATAGGTAGCCAGGCATGGTGTTATAGGATAATCTCAGCGGATTGGGAGGTTGAGGCAGGAGGCTCAAAGCCAGCCTCAGCAACTTAGCGAGGCCTTAAGCAACTCAGTGAGACCCTGTCTCTAAATAAAATACAAGGGGCTAGGGCTGTAGCTCAGTGGTAAAGTGCTTGCCTCGTATGTGTAAGGCACTGGGTTCGATCCCCAGCACCACATAAAAATAAAGATACTGTGTGTTCATCTACAACAAAATAAATATTTAAAAAAAAATAAATAAATAAAATACAAAATGGACTGAGGGTGTGGCTCAGTGGTTAAGTGCCCCTGGATTCAATCCCCGGTACCAAAAAATAAAATCACAGATATATTTCACACCTACTAGCTTGTTAAAAATATAAAATTCTGAAAATTAGTAGACTTGGTTAGAAGTGAATCACTAAGTCTTTTAAGCACTCTTATGGCAATGTAAACATGTACAATCACTTTGGAAAACAATTTGACATTATCTAGTAAGTATGAATAACTTTTAACCCAGCAATTCCATTTCTAAGTATATATTCAATAAAAATATGTGCACAAGCTGGATATGGTGGCACTTACTGATAGTTCCAGCTATTTGGGAGGCTGAGGCAGGGGTGGGTCACTTGTGACCAGAAGTTCAAGACTAGCCTGGGCAACATAGCAAGACTATATCTTAAAAAGAAAGAAAGAAAAAAAAAAAAGAAACATGTGACAAGTATACCAGGAAACACATAAAAAAAATGATCATAGCAGCATTATTCAAGGTATTCAAACACTGGAAACAATTCACATAATCATGCTTTAATAAAATGAATGAATAAATTTATATGTATCTATACAGTAGAATACTACAAAGAAAAAAATAAGTGTATCATAACTACATTCAGTAATTACATGCAATAACCTGGATGAATATCTAAAGAAGAAAATTCTATCTTATGGCATGAAGTTATTGTTGAATCTAGATCTCCTTTAGTGCAGTATAAATGCATTTCCCCTGCTTCTCTTCTCAGTAGCTATTAAGTAATGGGAAGATTTTATTAGAATTGGTAGTCAACCATTCTGTCTTTTGTACTGAAGAGTTTTACTTCAGAGTTTACTCAAGGTTCCTACCTTTGGACATAGTCTTTCATGGTTGCTCTTCAAAAAGTCTGAATTCATTTCTCTTACGGGGACATTAACAGCCACATTGCTATTACACATGCCATCTTGATTGTTTTTTTAAAAGGCCAACATTCTAAACATGTTCAAGAGTAGCTTTTTGCTATTCTTCAGTGTACAAAGTGCTAGGCATGCTTAGACAAAGAGAATCATTTTGCCATGAACCTTACTGGTTTTATTGACTTGGAAACCTTTTAATACCAAGTCTGGATATGTCATAAGTTGAGGGGGCAGCCAGGTCATTTGGATCATGGAAGAATTACATCTTAAAATTAGAAATGCTGGTAAATTCTATTAAAAGAATTAAAGAGAATTATTACTGTTCCAAAACTCCTCTAAGAGAAGTCTTCTGTAGTACTTCTTAATCCAAGGGTCATTTGTTTACCTCTTTAGAACTATCAATGATGTTCTGTATGCATGTATGTCCTTTAGTTTTATAGTGTTAATTTAAGGAATTTTTTTTTTTTGAGGTACTAGAATTTGAACCCAGAGGTAGTCTACACTGAGCTGCATCTCCAGCTGTTTTTATTTTTTATTTTGAGACAGGGTCTGACTAAATTGACCAGCCTAGACTCAAACTTGTAATACTCCTGCGTCAGCTTCCTACACCACTAAGATTATAGGTATGTGCCATCACACTTGGCCATGAGGATTAAGTTTTTAAAATACATAAGAATACTGTTTACAATTAGATAGTGTCACCTCTAGATTTATAATGGGATAGATATATAAATACCTATATATTTATGAAATGTATCTTATTCTTTTTTCCTAAATATTTATAAATATTAATTTAGGCTGGAGGTGTAGGTCAATGGTAGAGCACTTGTCTAGCATACATGAGGCCCTCAGTTCTATCCCCAACATCACCACCAAAAAAATTTACTGACTATATGGAAAACAAAAGCACAAAGAAAAATTTACACTATCCATAGTCCTATAACCCAGAAATAATCACTCTGTCTTTATAGAAATATCTAGAAATATATGCAAATATATGTATTTTTTTAATATCATACTTTAGTTCTGTTTTTAGCCTCTTTAAAAAAAACTTGCTTTTTTAGTATTATCACTTCAAATATTTTAGAGTTTTTCTAGCTACTGTGTGATAAAAGCAGTTATATTTCTCAAAGTAAATCAAAGGCTCTTGCCTACATAAATATTAAAATGTGAAAGCTGAAAGATAGTGAATGATTGGTATAAAATATTCAAAACTTCATTGCTTTTTTTTTTCCTATTTCTAGTTGCTGGGCATATTGGATTTTCCCTGTCATAGGCGCTATTCTCGTAGGTTTCCTGTATCGTTGCTACATGGCGGAAAGTAAATCCTCCTGAGGAGACCGTGTTGAAGTATGGGAAACACATCCACTTGGGAGTAAAAATTGGAGACTTGCTGTGAGGGCTATATTGGTGCCCTCTCGCTTAAATCCTGCCGGTTGTATTCTTCCCCCTTGGAGCCAAGACAGTTGACCAGACATCCACCTCCAGTCTGGGACCAGTGTCCTTCATCTCTGAGAGCCTTACTCCCAAACTACCTGCTCACTGTCCTGTGTCTTTGCCATGTTTCTTCTCTTCATTTATTTCCACAGTATCCTTACATTTCAAACATTTGTGTTAATGATTGTAATTCATATGTCATAGTGACATTATTCTTTGGAAAAAATGCTTGCTTTCCAGTAATTTGAATGCACATTATACATTCTTACCAAGGCAGCACTCTAATTTTGAAGGTTTTTCTTTTCCCATATTTCTTTCAAGTAAATATTTTTTAAAATTCTGATTTAATTCTATTATCACAAGGAGTTTATTCATGAAGTTAGGTACACATCTATTAAAACACACTGCCAAATGATCTTGTTCCTTTTTATATTTGTTAAAAGCAGAAAGAACTATGTGGTTATCTCCCTTCCAGGCTAATATAAGCTGATAGCTCCTCCCACTCCCAGCCCCTTTTCATTCCAAGGGATGCTGAACAAAGATGTGCCTCCCTTTGATTTCTTGTGGGTGAGAAAAGCCAAAGGAAGGGAGGGATGAATTGAGGTAACAGAACCCTGGCAAATTCACAGTAATCTTTTGAAAACACTACTTTAAGATAGGAGTTTAGAAATGGCACCAAATCTTCTCTTTGATTTGGCACTAATTTCTAACCATCTTTCTCTTTTTCTACCTTTATTTTATTGGTAAAATATAAGTGTATAATTATGTCTGTAGAGCCTACCAGGGATTCTTGCTGCTGTTTTGTTTATTGATTAGCAATTTTTGGTTCCCAGTTTTACACAAGTAAGAGATTTCAGTTTGATCTTTTGTTCGTCCAAGTAAAGTAACTTCCATATAAAATGTCATTTGAAAGTGGGAGATCATGACAAAAGGCAGTTTTCCATTTCATCTGTATTTTACCTCCATGGCTCCAACTTGTGGTTTTGTGCTTTCCATTAAGATTAAAGAATTGGCAGTTTTTTCCCCTTCTTTGGATGTGTGTTTCATTGAAAAGTAGGTTATTATTTAGACTTATTTACTATTTCTTATTGGGCCAGGTATTCCTCTGGCATTTTTTACTCCTCTTTCCCCCTACTGCCCTCACCACAAGGAAGCACCTAAATAGATAGTATACTGGCTGTTTTGTGTCAGTAGCTATGGTGATTTTTCTCTCTATTCTTTGAGGATTATTAGTCTGCTTCTGGGCCATTGTCATTTCCAGCAAGGAGCAGCTGGTTCAAGAAGGACTATAGATGCTGCTCAGTATCTTCTCCCTCCCTTCCAGTTTGCCTGGTACTTGAGGAGACAGGAAACTGACCAGTAAACCAAGTCTGCTCATACAAACTATTTAAGAAAAAGTTCAACCCAGATTTTATATCCTGTGACTTAGCAGTTGAATGAATTCAGAATTCATCAAAATAATATTAATCTTTTTCTTGCATACTTGGATATGATATTTTGGAGTTATTTCTGGCTGACTTTTTTATATATCTGATATGGGTATAATCAAACTTTTATCTTTAGAAAATATTTGTATTATAAGATGCTACTTTAAGAAAATGTATTAAATATTTGGCTATTATGTAACAAGTAGTATGATTTGATGCACCTCCATTTAAAGACAAGAAAGGGTTGTCTTAAATAAGGATTGGTATGTAATTGCTATAATAATTAAGTTGCATGATTACTTGGAGTGGATTGGGGTAGAGGTAAAGAACAAAGGAGTATTGAGGACCTGGAAATGGAATGCTCAAAGCTAATGCTAAGCTAGAAGATAACTTGGATCAATTGTAAAGTATTTTGGCAGTATCTAAAATTGAGTGAAAATCACCTGGCTTACAAGAAATGCTAGAAGAACTATAGTCTTATGTAAAATAGGTGTTTTTGATATTTCTAGGGGAAACACCAGACAATGTTTTTCTATTTCATATTGATTTTTTTCCCCCATTTATATGTGGACTTACTTTTTTACTAAGAGCCAGAGGGAAAAGATTTTCAGACTTTGTCTCTATTGTCCTTGAAATCCATGTAGAACCCAGGGCTTCTTTTGAAGTACTGCTAATACTATGTCACTTTGTATTATAAAAAACAATTTTAAAGTCCATTTACTGTATAATTTTGCTGTCTTCATAAGCAACCAGGTGAAAAGTAGCTCTTGAGTGAGTTTGCAAAAGTTTTTCTAAAGTATAAATTATACAGCACAATAGCCAAAGTCACCCAAAAGGACTTTGGTTTAAGAACTAGATTTGAATTTTCTACACAATCTTGGTGTTAGTAGCTCATGGAATCCCCTTTGAGAGCAAATGGAGCTAGTCCCTGTTGGCTGACAGTATCCCCCTGGGCCTGGGGTGTTCCTCTGTTAGTGTTTTTTCCTGAGGAGGGCCAGCTGCTGCTGCAGACTGTACTGTATACATAATGGCTGGTGAATGCAAGGAGGAAATGATACAAATTTTGTGCTACAAAAATATAGGATGTTAGGGCCCATTCTCCAAAATTTCTCAGCCCCTGACTCTTGGGAGTTGGTTTTCACTTCCAGATGACTTCTGTCCATAAAGGTAAGAAGGCAATGGGGGACAAAGTGTATATTGTATTTAAATCTGCTCGTGTGGCAGCTTAAGCATAAGTAGAAATCCATTGGAACCTATCATTTGAGCCTGTAGGGTTATTTAAGCAGTTTTCATAAATCTTATATTGTGAAATAAGAACACTGTTGGGTTTATATTCATTTAGTTCTGATGGGGTATAATGGAAAAATGATTTATAGGCCAGTTGTATCATTCCTTATAGAATCTCATACTTAAAATATCAAGTGAAATCTACATGGTTAAATTTCATTTTAAGAGATTGAAATGCAGAGCATTAATGTTCTTTACCTTCCACCCCAAGAGAAATGGATTTAGACATGTCTTGTCTCAACAAGAAATCGATTTTTTTTAAACCATCTTGTTTGTTGACAGCTATCACAAAAATATTGGCTTAGTCTCATTTGGCTGCTGTGCTCGAAAAAGTCCTGTTTAGAATTTGTGGGGTGCTCAAGGACAGAGATTTCACCAAAGCAGAGGGAGATTTATCAAATTACCTACCCTGTATCCAACATCTTACTTACAAGTTTGAGTAGCTGCTCCTTGCCCACGCCTGTCACCTATGTTTGCTGTTTGGGCAAAACATTATTTTGGTTATTTAACTTTCTTTTTACTTCACTCTGGACTGTGAATGAGTAACATTAACATTCCTTTTGTGTATTCAATAATGGAATTTGTTTACCTATTTTATTTCAGCATATTTTGAACAAAGATCTCTGTCTCTGCTGGAATGTGCACACAGTGAATGGTTGTTAGAATTACACACAATAAAGATACTGTTTTCCTTTTCTTGCCCTGTCTACAGTTATTTTTAAAATTTTTATTCCTCCCTTTTTTTTTTTTTTTTTTTTTTTTAAGTAGAAGTATTGGTTCTGTAGTCCTCAGGTGCTCTGGATGAAAGTAATTTAGAAGCAGGAAATTACCTGTATCTGTTAATCCTGTGTTTAGTGAAACTTGGTGGGAGTTCTCTGGTTCTTCAGTATTGCTGCTGCTTCTCTTTGCTGGAAGTGAGCTGCTCATATGATAATCTGAAGACACAAAAATCAAGGCTTTTGCCATGTAATGGATGTGAACCAGTAGACCGTTTGGGCTTCTATTTCTACTGAAATCATCTGCTAAAGAGAAGCCAATATAAGGTAATAATGTTTTATTATCTGCAATGCCAGGCTTCAAATGATTGTTTTTTTTTTTAATAAACTGATGGAGAAAATTAAACATGGAAATTGAAGTTCTGGTGACTATGTTAATAAAATAAGGGAAATAAACCATTTTTATAATTGCCTTTAAAACATACTGATAGCCTTATAACATTACTAACATTATATCAGATTACTGATAAAAGATTGTTCATTAGGGCTTGGTTATTTCACTACCACAGGAATTGAGGATTAGTAACAGGAAAGGATAGCCCCATTATAACCAGCATTTGAATCTAATGTTTAATCTTTGATACTAATAAGAATTCATTATCACAGCACTCTTCCTGATGCTGAATATTTGGTAAGGGCTCAACAGATCCCGATTGACTGATGAAAACTTGAGGTAGAAGATTGTGATTCCAATTATGAAAATTTGAGGTAAGGAATGTCTATATAATTTATTTCAATCTGATAATTAATAGCATGAATTAACAATTAGCTAAATAATGTCTATACTTTATATTCAAAGCTCACTCAATCACATATATACCAGCATTTTAAAATTTAATTCTGGGGCTGGGGTTGTGGCTCAGGGACTATTTTTCTCGCCTAGCACGTGCAAGTCCCTGGGTCTGATCCTCAGCACCACATAAAAATAAATAAGTAAAATAAAGGTATTGTGTCCAACTACAATTGAAAAATAAATATTTTTTTAAAAAAAACTTAATTATCTTGTGAAGTACTAAGGAGAGAAAGGTTGCTTTTCAGCTGAAATACTAGAATGCAGTTGTAATACTGTCATTTATGTGACACCTACTGTGTGCCATACAGTGTCTTTGTTAATATGTAAACATTTCTGACTCTTACTTTTACCATATCCTTGCAAAATAGAGGTATCCAAATTTTATTGGCGCCTCAGGGAGATACTTCACTTGCCTGAGGCCACAGAACAGTTAGTAGGACCAAGGTACTGATAATAATAGAGATAACTGGTTTTGAAATGAATCCCAGCCCCTTGGAAAACACCCACCACCACCCTCACCACCCCTGCCTTGAAAATGTTGTGGTAAGGGTCTTTCTTTTCCAAGAGTACCTAAGCTCTTGGAAGGCAGAAAGTCCATTTAAAGTCAGCATCTTTGGAAAATAGAAACATTCCTCATCCACAGATTACTTCCTGCCTTAGAGTAAGATACAGAAACTATTTAAGCTAACAGAAGTAAGAGATATGACTTGTTATGAATGAACAGTGAATGAGTACCTAGTGGCACACAAGGGTAGCATATACAACTGGCCCTAGTGAGGGACTAGGACTGGCAACCAGAAGACCAGCATAACTTTCCAGTCCAAACTCATAATGGGAATTGATTACTATAAGAGTGTAGTTGGCCAAATAGTATCGGTGTCTTCTTTGGGTCCCAATTCGTTCCTCAGGCTTGAGTTGGAGCGGATTGTAGGGAAATCAGTTACCCAAAACAGAAGCTATCATCACCTACTTGGTGTGTATGTATATATTTAAGTACCTTCATTAACTGACTTCAGAGAGGAGGGGCTTGTATGCCCCTCTGGATGCCCAAGTTATGTTGACCAAGAAGGAAGGCTAAGTGGATTCAGTTTAGTTTATTGTGTAATCTCCTTGGAACATTTAAAAATAATATTCAGCCCTGCCACAGATCAACCAAAACATTGTTTCAGTCTGAGGTTCAGTGGTAGAGTGTTTGCCTCACATATGTGAGGCAATGGATTCGAGTCTCAGCATTGCATATAAATAAATAATTAAAATAAAGGTCCACCGACAACTAAAAAAATTTTTTAAAAAAGCATTGTTTCAGGGGAATGTGAGGTTTGACAGTTACTGCCCTGAAAAAAGACTAACCTAGAATTCTGTGTGCAAACTACAAGTCAAGGTTTAGGGTAGAATTAAGTCACCTTGAACATGTGAGGTATCAAGAAATTTCCTCCTGTATCCTTTCTTAGCTTCTGAGGGATATACCCACAAAAAATGAAGAAGTTAAATAAATATTTAGAAGTTTTTATAGGGTATAAGCTGAGAAAGAAGAAGATACATTATGTTGGAAATGGGAGAAGTGAAATAAATTCCCACTGTGAGTGGTCAAGTAGAAGCCCAAGAGAATGGAACATGAACAGCCAAGGTGAATATAAGAAGAGAGCTTTCCAGGAGAGACAGCCCAAGGTGCTTGGGGCGGGGGGCAACTGATAGATTGTCATGTGTGTTTTTTGCCCCATGAATGATACATTATAGAAAGATGTGAAAAAAAGTAATTTATATACTCCAATAAAACATATACAAGAAAGGAAATGGGATAATAGGACTGTACTTAACAATAACCCTAATGTAAATACTTAATGAAAATTATTTGACTATCTTAGGAGGATGAACAAAGGAGAAGCCTGCATAGCATAACAATCTCAGCAAGCTCAATAAAACGTCTAAAATGGAAAATTCAAGGAATAGAACAAACATGTCCTTTAGATGCATGGCAATAAATACCAGGAGAAAAGGCTAAAAGAGCTAAGAAAGTATTTTTCTATGAATCAGGCATTGGGAAGAGAAGGACAGGGCAAGGGACTATTTTTCTTAGAAGCTCTTGAGCCTTACTAGGTCAGTAAGTGCACTCCTCCTTCCTTGAGTTCTCTTCCAATATTGAAATTGATAGGAAGAGATCAAAATGCTGTCTTTGTTATGGAGCAGGTGAGCCTTCCTACATCTCAAAATAAAAAAAAGGGCTGAGAATGTTGCTCAGTGGTTAAGTCCCTCTGGGCTCAACTCCTGATACTAAAAAAAAAAAAAAAAAGTTCATATTTAAATAATATTCGCTAGATGCTTTATGGGTATTACCTCATTCGATCCTTGTAACAATTCTATAAAACACAAGTACCTTTATCATCCCCAATTTACAGAAAGGGAAACTGAGTCATAAAAAGTTATGAAACTTGTCCAGTGTTACAATGTGAATAAGTAATGAGTCAGAATCTGCACCCAGGCTGTCTGGCTTTAGCAATCTTCCATTAGCCACTTAAAATGCTGCCTCATTTGTGTTAAAGGCTTTTATATGCATTATGATACATTTAATGCCCAGCCAAGCCAAAGAGGCAGATGCTATTATATCCCCATTTTAGAGAATATGTCCAAATCTGTGACTCTGCTATCTGCTTCTCATTAAGAAAAATATTCTTCGACAATAGAATTATTTTGGATAAGTATTACTGGTGAATTTTTATGAATTGAAATGAGTAAGAATTTATATTCAAGATATGCTTTTCCCTAGGTAAGACTAGAATTGGATATAAGTAAGTTTGTTGGTTTGATAGTTGAATTAAAAAAAAAAAAATTCTTACAAACACAGAAAATTGAAAAAGGAAAAAAAGGTCAGCAGTTGTCCCAGCACCCAAAGCAGTGGGAATTGCTTTAACACTTTTATCTATTTTATTCTAGGGCTTTTTCTATGCATTACTGTTTTCATGGTGTAAATACAATTTCGTATTATGTTCTTTTCACTTAATATCACATCAGCATATTTTCTTCTTATATTTGTGTGTGTTACTGGGGCTGAACACAGGGTATCACAAATGCTAGGCAAGCACTCTTAACACTGAGCTATAACCCCAGCCCCCTGCCTTTTTTTTTTTTTTTTTGGTACTGTGGTTCAAACCTAGGGGTTCTTTACCACTAAGCTACAACCCCAGCTCTTTTTCATTTATGTTTTTATTTATGTATGTATATATTTTGTGGTGCTAGGGATTGAACCCAGGACCTTGTGGATACCAGGCAAGCACTCTACCAACTAAGCTATATCCCTTGCCCTTATTTTTTATTTTAAGACAGGATCTTGCTAGGTTGGTTAGGGCTGGCTAAATAGGTTGGTTAGGGCTAGCTTTGAACTTGCAATGCTCCTGCCTCAGCCTCTTGAGTCACTGGGATTACAGGTGTGTGCTACCACAAGGGACTTTCCAGGCTATTCTTTATTCACAAACTGCCTACTTTTTAATATCCATGATGTGATTCAGTGTGCTATTTGCCAGAAAAATGTTAATAAAAGAAAAACATGACAGTACATTTCTAAAAAAATTTGCATTTCTGATTTTAAAATGTAATTTTATAGGAAGGGCAGCAGAATAGAATAGACATTATGATTGATGTATGTACATTCCATGTATGTATTATATGTCAAAATACATTCTGCTATCATGTATGACTAAAAAAAATAAAAATAAATCGTATGGTAAAAAAATAAATAAATAAAATGTAATTTTAATCAGTACGAGATACATATATAGTTCAAAAAGTTAAATAGTGCTACAGGTCTTCTGCTAGGGGAGATTAGTTCTTTCCCACTTTTTAAACTTCTAAGTGGAAGCTTTGCTGGGCTCTTGCCCTTGGAGAAATGAGTTCTAGATAAAGGAACTAGCTGTGCTCAGCTGATGCCTGTGTCTCCTTATTGTTCCTCTATACTAGAAGTTGAGTGGGGAATGGGCCTGACCACAGGAGGTCAGTTTTCCAGCCCTGTAAGTGACTAGTGGTAAATCTTCCCTGTTCATTGGTGGAATGTAAGAAAGCTCTCTCTAGCTAATATACTCTCATTTGGCCACTTCTGCGGTCTTCTATGCCCACCTTGTTCTTTCCCCTATTAG